TCCTGCCAGGTACACCACAAGAACCATTCGCCCAGAGACTTTCAGGATAGCATGTATGATGGCTAAAGGAGATAAGATATGTCTTGCGGCTCCAGTACTTGCTAGTATTTATTCTGGTTTAAACTCAATCTCGGAATCCCACTCTCCCTGGTCAAATAGGAGATCCTTTTCCAATCCATTACGTGTACAGCTGGCTAGCAACTTACTACCAAACCCACTTTAAGACCCCCAGCCTCACGTTAGCAAACCCAAAGATGGTCACTAATTCTGGAGAAGGTGGTGCAAGGTATTCAAAGGGGACGTTTCTTGGCTCTGCAACTCCCGCAAGGATAGTAGAGATTTTATCTTTTATGACGACCGTAGAGGGAGTAGGGAAGACTTTGAGTACTTCATATGTTTGCGCCCCAGCTTCCTCGTTTTGCGCCAAGGGTATCAATGCAAAGCCGAGCCTTACATGCCGCATCGCTTCAGTCGTCAATTTGGATTCTATCAAGCATATGCCCCCGGCCTGTTGGCGAAGGATGTCCGTTATGCTTCACTCACCGAAGGATTCCGACTCCATCGCCAATATGATAATATCAACTCCCAATCTAGGGCGACATTTCCCATGAGCCCGGCTGCTCCAAAGAAGCATTTTTCGAACGAGTACAAGGCCTGGTTGATCGATGTGAGTGCAAACCTTCTCGAGAATCATTTCACAGACATAGCCGTTAACGGAAACCCAAACGTACCTGTCGGCGAGGAAGGAACTCAAGAACAAAAAGACCAACTGACCACCTCAAGGAACAAAAAAACACCTGCACAAGAGGACATGTCATCTCGGGATAGGGCCTCAGGACATGTCGCTCGAAGGAGCAGGGAGGAGCAAGCGAGGCAACGAAGCTCGGACGAGGACGCTGGTAGTGATGACGACCAAGATCGCTGTTGGAAACGGCCTAGAGGGAGACCATTGAACCAGGTTAAGATACTTCCCCAAATTCTTCCGTTTCGTATATCGTTGGACTTTGGCCTTTGTTAACGTACATGCACTACTTCTTACAGGATCCTGCCGAGCCACATGTTAGCAACGTTGTCCAGTCATCAAATCACCAGTCTTCAATGGGACAAAGTGGCGGACGCTCTAATACCCTTGACCTCGAGGTAGAATCCCACCAATCGACGTTGCCCTTAAACACAACTCCTCAGGAGATGCAGCCAGAGCCGTCCCAAGCCTCTATCTTCCCCGGCGAGGAGTCGTTTATATCACAATACATGACTTTCATTGCGGGAGTTTGGAGTAGTATCTGCAGGAAGCTTAATGAGATCCCAGCTGAAAGAATTTCTTCCTTCCAAGGAAGCGTTGAAAGACAACTCCAAGAAATGGGACGGGACGGGGTGGACCTATCAATATTGAAGCGACGAGTGGCCGAGTTCTTTAACAAAGCTAAAGATTACGATCGGGCGGCGGTCGCAGCTCTCGAATGCACTGCCCGTTGAAACCCAAGCCGCGAAGCTAGTTCTAACGCAAGGTATCCTTGTAGAAGCTCAACGGAAGTGTTCTCAAACCGAAGCGCTTCTTCTTGACGAACAGAAAACCCTCGAAGACGCCGCCGATCGAAAAGCCCTCCTGGAGAAAACGATAAAGGATGCACAGGAAGAGTTGAAGGAGATTGAAGCCAAGAACCCGGAACTCCAAGACCGTGTGACGAAGGCTCAAGAACAACATAACGCATCGCAAAAGGCCGTGACCACCGCTGAGGATGAAATTAAACGTATTCGAGACTGCCCCACGTTGACAGATGAAGATGAAGAAAAGCTTACTTCAATCAAAAGAGAGCTAGAAGCGTATAAGGAAGATCTCATGAGCTTTAGAATACTTTAGATTTATTTTTTATTTTTTTTTTATTTTTTTTTTTTTGTATAACGCATGAGTTTTATACTTGGAAACAAGACTTGAATACGACTTGATTTCTCTTATCTTTTCAACAATACTTGCGAACAATTGAACTTCAGCATGAACAGAAGCAACTAAGTTTAAACCCAAACAAGTCACTCTAATAGAAATCTGACAAAAGAATTCACCCGTAATTACAACGTGAACAGAGATGACCCATCTCCAATACATCTACATTATTCGAACAAACGTGACATAAAAGGGACACAAAGGGGTTTATTTTAGTTATGACTGAACTTAGAAGAGGAGGTGTCTCTAAGCTGCCTACGTACTCCTGCGAAGGAGATCAAGTCAAACGTAGTTCAAAGGACCATTTGAATAGGTAGGGCCGTTCACAGTTTAAACTCATGCGGGCCAGGAGTTTACCGTACACAGTTTAAGCTCGTGCGGGTCAGGAGCGTCTATGACTTGGGCCCACCCATAAACAAGCGAGATGCATTGGCAGTTTAACCACGTGCTGCATTTTTGGTGGATATCACTCATCATGTAGTCCGTGTGCTTAGGGATGATAGATCTTTAAGAATTTCCTGTTAATAGGGCCAACTCGCACACCATCTTCATCAATTAGCTTGTAAGCACCTCCTGAGTATGCTTCTTGTACCACGTAAGGTCCATCCCATTTTGGAGTAAACTTATGCCCAGTTTTCCTTGTAATAATGATAGGTCTACGAACTGCCAACACCTTGTCACCAACCTGAAATGAGCGAATCCTTACCCTCTTGTTGAAAGCTCTAGAAATTCGAGCTTGATAGCATTCTAAACTTTGTTGGGCCTGCAATCTCTTCTCATCGAGAGCTTCTAACTCTGCCAACCGCAACTTTACATTATCCTCGTCTGTAAGGCCTTCTTGGATAGCTAACCTTAGAGAAGGTATTTGGCGTTCAAGAGGCAAGACTGCTTCAACCCCGTAAACCAGTGAGTATGGAGTGCTTTGTGTTGGTGTACGGTATGTAGTTCTGTATGCCCACAGTGCTTCTTCCATCCTTTCTTGCCAATCACGTTTTGACTTCGACACCACCTTTTTTAGTAGATTGCATAGAGTTTTGTTAAAAGCTTCGGCAAGTCCATTTGCAACTGCATAATAAGCTGATGAATTTCTTTGCTCGAACTCAAAAAGTTTGCAGATTTTATCCATCAATTTATTATCGAATGGTTTCCCGTTGTCGGTTAGGATATACCGAGGGATGCCAAAACGATAGATAATGTGAACTCGGATGAAATCTGCAACATTTTCCTTCTTCACTTCCTTTAAAGCCACTGCTTCAGCCCACTTTGAGAAATAATCGGTGGCTGCTAATATATACGAATGCCCTGCTGATGACTTGGGTGTAATAGGACCAACCACATCGAGCCCCCATGCATCAAATGGCCACGATGCTACCGTCGGATGTAGCGGTTCAGGAGGTTGATGGATAAAGTTCGCATGAAATTGACATGCTTGACATCTCCGTGCATAGTCTATGCAATCCTTCACCATCGTAGGCCAGTAGTAACCCATTCTTTTGATGTGAAAATGTAACTTAGGACCAAACTGATGAGCACCGCACACTCCAGAGTGAGCCTCCTCCATCGCTTGTAAAGCTTCCTCTTCGCCTAAACATCGAAGAAACACACCATCAAACGAGCGCCGGTATAGCGCATCCTTGAAATATATGAAGCGAGGAGCTCGACGTCTTACATCTACCCTCTTACGAGGGTCTTGAGGTAACTTCCCATCAACAAGGTAGTCAATCAATGATTGCCTCCAATCCTCTTTATCTACCTCATAGACAGAAGCAGTCGGGAGTTCAACAATGTCGTCAAGAGAGCCATCGTCCTCGAAGATTGGAGGGACTACCCATTTTTGGCATACTCGTAGCCGAGCCTCATCTATAGGATGTGATATAGTTGAAGCCAAAGCAGCTAAGGCATCGGCTTGCTTATTATGTTTCCTTGGAATATGCTCCATCGTAGCATCTCCTAGCCAATGCAGGAGCGTCTTTGCATAACTGTTGTATGGGATCAACTCAGGCTTTTTTACTTCGTAAACCCCAAGTACTTGGTTGATAATTAGTTTGGAGTCCCCATATATGTTAACCCTTAGTTGCTTCATATCGGCTGCAATTTCAAGTCCCAAAATGAGTGCCTGATACTAGGCAACATTATTCGAGCAGCGTTCTGTCAAGGTAAATGAATAAGGAAGCACTTCCCCTTCAGGCGTAACAAAGACAACTCCAGCGCCTGCCCCCTCTTTGTGTGCCGCTCCATCAAAGTACATCTTCCATGGAGGTAAAACTTCAACCACAAGCACATCCTCATCAGGTAGGTCACTGGACAGCTCCCATTCGGCAGGAATTGGATGATCAGCTAGGAAATCTGCTAAGGCTTGCCCCTTGATGGACTTCTGTGGTACATAAGTGATCTCAAACTGTTGAAATAATAAGTACCACCTAGCAAGTCGATCGGAAAGAACAACCTTTGACATGACATACTTCACTGGGTTTGCCCTGGAAACTAGTCGAATTGTATGCGCTTCGAAATAATGCTTGAGCTTCCTGATGGCGAATACAAGGGCCAGACACAACTTCTCAATTGGCAGATATTTGAGCTCATTTGGCGTCATCATTCTACTTAAATAATAAAGGGCATTTTCTTTCCCGTTATCATTCTCTTGTGCAAGTAAAGCACCCACCGAGCTTTCTTGGGCGGAGATGTAAAGGATCAACAAGCGTCCTGGAATTGGAGCAGTTAACACAGGCGGCTTCATTAAATAGGACTTGATGCTTTGGAAAGTATTCTTGCAGGCCTCATCCCATACAAATGGGACACCCTTCTTCATTAACCGGCTAAAGGGCTGACATCTTCCTGCTAGGTTTGATATAAATCTTCTTATATAAGCCAACTTCCCTTGCAAGCTTTTAAGCTCATGAAGGTTCTTTGGCTCAGGCATCTTCATTATAGCGTCGATCTTTGCTTGTTCGATCTCAATGCCCCTATGTCGAACAGTAAACCCAAGGAATTTGCCAGCAGCAACCCCAAAAGCACATTTCAGGGGGTTCATTTTGAGTTGAAACTTTCGCAAGCGGTCAAATACTTGTCTTAGACGCATCATGTGATCAGTGCGGAGTTTCGACTTCACAACTAGGTCGTCTACGTAACATTCCACCATTTTATGCAGCATGTCGTCAAATATAGTCTGCATGGCCCTTTGGTATGTAGCACCTGCATTTTTCAAACCAAAGGGCATCACTTTGTAGCAGTAGATACCTTTTGGCGTACGAAACGCAGTAAACTCCTCATCTTCTGGCGCCATGCGGATTTGATTGTAACCGGATGAGCCATCCATGAATGACATGATCTCGTGTCCAGTTACAGCATCTATCATTAACTCTGTGATAGGGAGCGGGAAGTCATCTTTCGGGCATGCAACATTAAGATCTCGAAAGTCTACGCACACGCGGATCTGGCCATTCTTCTTGCGCACAGGCACAATGCTGGATATCCAAGTTGGGTATTTAACTTCGTGAATGAAACCAGCCTCTATAAGCTTGTTGACTTCTGCTTCGATTGAGGGAATGAGCTCGGGGCGGAAGCGCCGTTGATCTTGCTTAATCGGGCGACACCCCTTTTTTACTGCCAAGCGGTGCACGGCTATCTTTGGGTCCAACCCTGGCATCTCCTTATATGTCCATGCAAATACATCGATATATTCTTTCAAAAGTGTGACATATATTTCTTCATCTTCGTTGGAAAGGAGTGAACTAATGAAGATAGGTCGAGGACTTTCAGGAGTTCCTAGATCCACCTCTTTTAGTTCGTCCACTGCGGCTTGTACCCCTTCTTCTAGCTCTTGAGGTGCATCTTCTGCATCTTCACCCTCGGTTGGAATCTCATCGTATAATGTTATATGAAATGACGATCTTGACTTGGTGTTGCCTCACAACTTGAATCAATATTTTCTTGACTTCTTTCTCGCACTTGGGTGTGTACAATGGTTCTTGGTTGGACCTTCAAAACTTCACCACACGAGACATGGATATTAACTTCTCTTCTTATGCGAGATGGAACGGCACTCCTGAGCCTTTTTGAGGGTTCCATTTCAGTAGGAGGGTTGGTCTGCTCCTTCGAACTCTGAGTAGGCCCAATTCTGTCATGTACTGATTTTCTCTTAGCAGGTTTGGGATTCGGCCCAAGTCTAAGGAAGACTGATTGTCGTACTTCTACATCTCCGATTCTATCAAAAACAGACTGTTTCTTGTCACCTTCCTCCTCATCTGTAGAAGTGATGCAATTACTTGTGGCTCTGTTTATGAATATTCGCACTGGCTTAGGGGGAATATAACCCAATCCTTTCCGTTCATGTGGCTCTTGCTGATTGGACTTGCCTTTACCACCAGCTTCTGGGATGAGTTTCCCCAGCTTTTGTGGCTCTTTGGGATCATATCCAGCTTTGAATAGAAGTTTATATGCATTAGGGTCGAAGCCGCTAGTGCGCTTAGCGGGCACTGTTTGACTTGCCCCAACTTGAGCTTCATCTTCAAGCAATTTAACTGGAGCTGCTGCTTTTAATGTTTCAATCTTTGCGAGTGGGAAAACAAGTTCCTTGTCGCGATGAGCTTGGTCTACAACTTGCTTGCCTTTACACTTTGGATCAAGAGGTGTGTCAACATTGCTTTGCTCAGCCTCCTCTACAACTTGTTTCTTCAAGTAAAACTTTGCATCTGCAAAGTATGATTCTGCTTCAATGAAGGGAGTTTGATCAGCGACTACCTTTTCTATCACCCCGCATTTTTCAAACATGAGGCATTGGTGCCAGGATGAGGGAACTACTCCGTTCTCATGTATCCAAGGCCGGCCGAGCAGCAAGTTGTACGACGTCCTTGCATCTATCACATAACATAATGTGCTTGAGTTTAGTGTCCCGATCCTGAGGTCGAGTCTGATGGTACCCAGGGCTCTTTGTCCGCCTTGATTAAATCCTTGGATCATTAAGCGGCTTTGAGAGAGCTCATCGGTGGAGATGCCAAGTTCTTTCATAGCTCGGAGTGATAGAATGTTCACAACCGATCCTTGATCAATCAAAATCCTTTTAATCTTTTGCTCGCGGGCATAACCTTCAACAAACAACAGACGATTATGTGGTGTACCACCAAGCAATAGATCTTCATCTTTAAAAGTTATCTCGGCAGTATAAGACGCGGCTTTGTGGACTTGAACCTCGTCGCCTCCTTCAATCACGGGGAATGAACATTCTCCCCCTTCAACATGACTCTCTTTAATATTCAAGCGAGTTTCAGAAATGTTTGTACCATGCGGAGGAAGCGCCTTTGGCATGTATTGAGCCAAGGCAACTGGTGGTCGAGGCTCGCCGGGACGTCCTTTCATCTTTGTGTCATAGGCGGGGTCCATTGCTGGGTTTCTCTCAACCCATCGCTTTGTTATTCTCTTCAAAGATCTAACGTGTCCAGCATTGTTCCTTTGTTTTTTGCGGGTAACAACTACCCAATCCTTCTCGCATACCGGATTAGCCTGTGGTGACTCTGGCGGTTGCCTAGTAGCATGTTTCACAATAAATGGAAGCGGGCGTTTGTATTGCTTGCCCCCATCCTCTTCATCACTCTCCTCAACTAACGGAGCGAACCTTCCGCATGAAATTTGGTTGGTGCTGGCAGTTGCATCGGCCAGCTCAATCTTTCCATCACGAGCAAGTCTCATCACCTTATCTTTAAAGACGAAGCATTTTTCAATCGAGTGTCCGAGGAGACGATGATACTTGCAATAGTTGGGGTCGTCTACCTTAGAAGCTTCTTCGGGACGCTTCATCTCTGGTAATTCAATCAACTTAAGCTTTAACAATTCATCAAACATGGGTGACACATCAGAGTCCAAGAACGGATACTGTTTTTGCTGCATCTCTTCAATGATTCTAGTACCCCGAGATGGGCGGGAAAATGACCTTAGCCTGGGATTTTCAGTTACTTTGGCGAAAACCCGCATTGGTGCTGTTTTTACGTTCATGGCCTCCTTCTTTTCTTGTTTCGGGAAGGGTTTGCCCCCTTTCTTGAATTCTTGTTTTACCGGTGCCTTGGATGAGCTAGGGATACTTGACATGCCGAGCCCTCCATTGGCTTCAATACTCAATTCCATGTCGTGAGCACGACTGGATAGTTCTTCAAATGTTCTAGGCTTGATTCCCTGCAAGATATAAGAGAGCTCGAAGTGCATCCCTTGGATGCACATTTCAATTGCGGAGCTTTGTGATATCCTCTCTTTACAGTTAAAGCACAATTCCCTCCATCTCTCGATGTAAGTGCCCGCACGCTCACCCTTCCATTGGTGGGTAGTGGTGAGTTCCAAGAAGCTGACAGTCCTCCTAGTGCTGTAGAAGCGGGTAAAAAACTCGCGCTCCATATCATTCCAGCTATCAATGCAACCATGCTCCAGGTCAGTGTACCAATCAAAGGCAGTGCCCTTCAGAGAGCGGACGAACTGCTTGACGAGGAGATCTCCGTATGTTCCTGCATCATTATAGGTTTCAACGAAGTGGGCGATGTGCTGCCTCGGGTTGCCTTTTCCATCAAACTGCTGGAACTTGGGAGGTTGATAGCCCAGCGACATTTTCATTTCTTCAATTCTCTGAGTATATGGCTTAGTGTAAGTATATGAAGATTGTCCTCCCTCGAGCTTCCCCTTGATCGCTCCCATGATGTACTCATTCAACTGCTCAACGGGTATCATGCCCTCAGAAATTAGGATACTCTTCTCGGCGGGTGGTGGACGGGAGATTGTCTCTTCCATTCCTGGCCTACTTTGATGGCGCGGGGACTCGACATCAATCTCATCTCCTTGGGTTTGAGGCTGCTTCCCGGAAGCCCGACTTGTTTCGCCGTTCCTTCCGCTTTCAACCTTTTCACTGAGCTCATTGATCCGCCTTTCTTGGTTATGCATGAGTGCAGCTATCCCCTCGAGAGATTTAGTGATGTTTGCGAGTTGTTCCTCCACCGAAGCCGCGTTCGTTGTCATAGCGGGCATGATTGTGTATATGTGATTCCATTCCGGTGAGGTTCTCTGCAGAAGTGATGACTGTGATGAACTTCCACTGCTTGGAGTTTTATTCGAGGGAATAGGGCTCGCAGGACTCTTGTTGCTTGGAGCTCCCTCACTTGTAGGATTCTGGTCAGCAACAGTTTCCTTTGTAGAGGATGATCCTTTGTCATGTGCAGCTCTCCGTGACATAGTAGAGTTTCTGTCAATCCTTCGGACGATGTGGCGGGCAATGTCCTGGGCCTCGTGGAGTTGCACCCCTAGGTTCCTCACTCGGCTTCGAGTCATTGCTCCTCCCACGCCTTGGCTATCACCGGAACCGGCCGCAGATGATGCCCTGGAGCGGGTAGCCTGAGCATATGTCATCTTGGAGGAGGGATTTCTTGATGCCATTTAGATTCCTTCCTTGTAGAGCTCGTGAATCAGCAGTGAAGAGATGAGAGGCAAAGTCGTCCCACTGGGCGTGCCAAAATCTGTAAACACAAAAAAGTAAACTTTGTATATATTCACAAAATTCATGTACAGCGTGTGTATAATTCAATGCAGGTACAAAATCTCTGTCTAGTCCTCTGATTGTTCACTAACGTTATCTATGGAAGTGCCTCCGGGATTCAATTAGCGTAGCCTCCGGGATTCAATTGGCGCGTGCCTCCGGGATTCAAGTGGCGTAGCTTCCGGGATTTAAGTGGCGTAACTTCCAACGACGAGCGTCAAGAATTTAGAAATAATCAACCCTGCAAAGTTTCAAAACACATGCAATGGATTCAAGCTGCTTTAAGATCCTCAAATGCCTTCAAAAGACTTCAAAATTTTCGAGACAATCAATTCTGCAAAGCTCCAAAGTACCTGCAATGGATTCAAATTGCCTGCAAAATCAACAAAGATGCCTTCAACTTCAAGCGTTCTTCAATGCCTTCGGGCTCTTCAAATGCTCTCAACTCCTTAAGCCTTCAAATTCTTACAGCTTTCAAGTGTATTTTGGAATCAAATGAAGGCTCTATTTATACCAAAAGCTTAACCAAAATTCCTCAACCAACTCCCCTTTTTAGTTAACTAATTAATTAATTAACTAATTACGAAAATGAACCTTGCCCAAGATCAAGTCCAAGTTCATTATTGTATAATCTAATTCAAATTCAAATTAAATTATAATTATCTAATTCAAATATAATAAAATTAATATTATATTTAAATTATAATTATAATTTATAATTCAAATTCAAATATAAAATGGGCTTGGACCAGTTAATTAATTAATTCAATGGTCCAAATCAAATCTAATTGGGCTAATTAAATTAAATTAATTTCTATGATCCAATTAATTAAATTGACCCAATCATCAATCTCGACGTCGGCCCAACAAAAATTTTATCCGTCTATTTATCGGGTTTAATTTTTCTGTGTCTACACTAACATTCCAGCAATCTAACATTTCCTAATGTAATATAACATTTCGTGAACCAAACGCCCCCTTAAAATTATTCGTATTATATTAAATATTTTGGATGATGATTTGGATGTCAGGTAAGCCTACCTGCTAAAACAAATAAAAAATGTCTAATTGTACTTTTTTTTTTCTCATAAATTCAATGATCTCTTTAAACCATTTTAAATTTAAGGATTCAATGCCACTTTACTAACAAGTTTGAAAGCTTAATTATATGTCCCGTATTTCATAATTAAAAATGAATGTGATTTTATAGGGTCACCTATGAATACATCATTACTTCATTTGTTCATTACGAGATTGCCCTTCAAGTTTCAGCCTAAACAATTCCCATTGATACTCGCATATGTCATGACTATCAACAAAATTCAGGGTCAAACACTAACTCATGTTTGGTTATTGCTGAAAAAATCGATGTTTAATCACAGTCAATTGTACGTGGCTTTTTCCCGAGTCACCCATCCTGATGGCCTGAAGGTG